TCCTGCTGCAGAAGCGTCTCCTTGATTTTGGATTTCCTGTACTATCTGTTACGTTCTCAAACAATACCAGCACGGCCATTCTGTGAGATTGTTAAAGCCAAATGATCATATCAAAGCAAATATATTTTTGGTTGCTGTGCTTGTTTGTGTTGTTGACTTGCACCTACGCTCTTTTTTAACATTTACCAATTCCTGGCATTGCAGTCCTGGGGTAAGAGCACTTAATGACCACTGCCCAGTGGAGATTTTGTACCGTGTAGCACCATCTACCTTTTCAGATGAAAACACAGTCTCCTTTGAAGGATTTTATTTATCCTTTATGTTTTTAGAAGGCTCTCTTTAGGAGAGGCCTGTGAGCAAGGTTATGACACGCACACACTGATAATATCTACTGTGAGGCTTCAGTTTGTGAACTGCCTCCTGGAACTGATATATCAGTTAAACTGACTTTAGTAAAACAGGAGGTTTTCAAAGCACTGAAGGGCTTAGGAGGCCCTGTCTGATTTATTGTTCGTACATTTGAAAGTACCAGTCAATAAATAATGAAATATATAGATGAGGAGAATTGTTTTTCCTTGAATCTTTCAGTTTTGGGTGTTCCTTTTGACAGGATCAACATTTTCAGACAAATGCAATGCATGAATTGGAGCTATTCTATGAGACTTCTTAGAGTGGGATCATGTCTGTCGCAAAACACCCTGCTCTCCTAAAGATGTCCACTCTACCTCACTTCCCAGTTTAGTAAATGGAATAACGCTGAATTATTTATGTCGCCAGTTCAGAGTGGTTTAATTTGTTTGTGAAAGCAAAAATACTCTCACAAAATACTTTGTCCCTTTGTGTTCTGTAGTACTCTTGGAAATTATTCATACAGTTCCAAAGCACATTTATTCAGTGTTTACTTGCTAAATCTTGCATGAGAATATTAGAAGGGAGATTAATAGAAACCCTGCTAGGAAATGCAATTGAGAGAAGTTATTGAGAATGTGCTAAAAAATTTATTCAGTACTTGCTGTTTGATAGCAGACTCCAAATTTTGGTGTCTCAGTTCAGTGTCACAGACCAATTTAGAAGGGTGTGTTTATAGGAAAAAAATAATACCTGATTTTCCAGTGGGATTTGGTACATCCCTGTGCCCTACTGAACTTGCATTCTTGCAGCAGCATCAGCCGCACCTTTGGCAATTATGGTTTCTAAATCATCCATTTTCATCTTATCAGAGATCTAGAAGTAGTATTTGAAAGACGCTTGAATTTATCTAACGATGCAGAAGGCTTTTTTTTTTGCTAATTGTGCACTTGAATTTCAAGTCTGACTTGTAGAAGACTAGAAATTTCTTGGCTTGAGACTGAGTGGTGTTTCACAAGTGCGGATAGTGAGATACACAGGGGAGAAATGATCCTTTTATGGGAAGAATATGAGACTAGGACCACCATATGCAATATTTACCTCTTTTGGTTCTGTTGGTTGGTTGTTTTCTGATACCATGACATACCACAGAAGTGTTAACATACCACATGAGGAAGAGGCAGCAGCAATTTTAAGTGCCTTATAAAGCAAGAACTGAAAACAAAATGTTTGAAAATCTGTGCTGTCCCTGTTCACAGCAATCACGCTTACACAGATGGGGCTAGATTTTTGAAGCTGTTGTCTAGGCCCGGAATGGTCAAGTCTGGGGTTTGATTGTTTCGGTGGGAGTCTACCCATGCCACTGCAAAATTTCCTTGTTTTGCAATTGTCAATATATCTTGCCATTTTTCCTTTTGCCACACAGGTCTTAGTTAACTTCCCACCCATTCTGTTCCCAAATGGAAGCCATTCAGTACATCCCTTGAAGACAGTGAAAGAGTCAGTATAGATATAGACAGGAGAAGTAGATTGTGCCTCGTGTTGAAACACACTCCATACTGCTACCAGTTCTCCTACCGGAGCACTATTCTCCCCTTCAGTGATGATTTTTCGTTTGGTCTGTATTTGCAAGGCGACAGCTTGATATTTCCTTGTTTTGCCCTCTCTTTTTGCAGAGGCTTCTGTAAACCACACATTTTGTAGCTGTTCTGAGAACGGGGGGGCAACCTTCACCACGGGTGAAGTTGTGCTACTTTCAGTATCTAAAGCCATTGTTTCCTGAGTAGCTAGGGTTTTAGCTGCAACCTCTGAAACTTCAAAAACGTTACAGTAATGTTCTATCTGAGCATACCACTTTCCTCCTGAAGCTCTCTGTGCCACCCCGTCAGGGGGTGGTGTCCCAGTCAATACAGGTTTTATTACTTTAGAGGGACCTCTAAGCACAATTGCTTGTTTATGTATGGTGTGTTCAGCTTCTCACAAGGCTAGGCTAACCACAAACAAACCTTTCTCCCAGGTGGAATACCGTTTCTCAGCATCCTTAAAGCTTCTAGAATAACACCCTATACGTCGAGTGGGTCCTTCGGGCCCTTTTTACCACAGTTGTATCAATAAACCTGGTTGGGCAAATCCCCACTCAATTTGGATAGGGTCGGAAGGATGGATCGGACCCAGAGCTTGATAGTTACTAGCTTCATCATGGATTGGGGACCAGTCCCACGACACTCCCTTTCTCACCAAATCATACAAAGGTCTTGCAATAATGGAAAAATCTGGAATGTGTTTTCTCCAAAACACAAGCAATCCTAATGCATGTTGTAGTTCTTTCTTTGTTTCAGGCATTTTTATCTGGTCTAATGTAGCAAGGGTGTCTCGAGGAATACATGTCATCCCCTTTCCACCATATCCCTAAGAATTTTACTTCATTTGCTGGTGTCTGAATCTTTTCAGGGGGAATTTTCAGTCCCAAGCCTTCTAAGTGCGAAATAATTTTGTCCTGCATTGCTCGAACCCTGTCTACCTGATTGCCTCCTATGAGCACATCATCAATATACTGGTAAACTTTTATTCCTTCCTCCAAAGGAATCAATTCCAATTCTCGCGCTAAAGCGTGGTGAGCTAGGGTAGGCGAATGCTTATACCCCTGAGGAAGGCGGGTGAAAGTGTACTGTTGTCCTTCCCAAGTAAATGCAAAACGTTCCTGGTCCCCAGGTTGGGTGGGAACCATAAAAAAAAAATCTGTGACATCTATAGTTGCCATAATGGGGTGAGCTTGTTCCTGGATGGATGTTACGAGCTCAGCAATGTTTGGAACTGTGGCTGTGGGTGGTCCTGAATTAGCATTAAGTCTTTGATAGTCTACAGTCAATCTCCATTTTCCATTTGGTTTACGAACTGGCCACACAGGAGAGTTGAAAGGGGAATGGGTTGGCACTACAATTCCCTGTTCCTTCAGTTCCTGCAATACGGTAGTAATTCACTCTCGTGCCCCTAAAGGCAACAGATAAGGATTGACATTCGTCAGTCGTGAAGGAGGAAGCAAAGGTGCAGTACGTAATAGTCATATGTCAGTTGATGGGACACCAAATGTCCATTTTTTTTCCCTTATCATCCATCCACACTTTACCCCTCAGAACATGAATTCCTAAAAGGTTAAGTGGAAACGGTCCCACAACCATTGTTACTGAAGTGGCTGCATCTTCCCCGGGCAGTCGTAAACCAACAGTAGCCAATGTTTGTGCTCGGGCAGTACCAAAAGCATCTGCAACAAACATCTGTCGTTTATACAAGGTGATGCCACTTTGTGTAGCATCTTCCGGTTTAAGGGCTGAAATTTGGGCTCCTGTGTCTACCAAAAATGTTATGGGTACTAATCTAGGTTCTACAAAACAAATTATAAATCACCTTGATGGTTTTCAGTGAGCCTCCTAATATACATCCATCCTTCGCCTCCCCGCTCACTACAAGGGGGCGAAGGGATTAGTTTTCCAGCGGCTTGTGGGAGGCGGTTAGATCCAATGAAGGAGCAGTAGGAATAGGATTTTTGCCTTTGATTTGTGGATTTTCGGTCCATCCCAGTACTAATTTTCCCAATTTTTCTGTTGGCAACCTGTTCATAAGTTCTCGGGGAATGCCTTTTCGGCATCCCATGGTCCAGAAATTATTTCGTCTGTTCCCTACATCTTTGCCACCAGATGCTGTTACAGGAAATGTCTCTTTACTTTTGTTCAGGGGTGCTTTCATTTCTGTGCGTCTTAAGACTTTTGATTCTGGTTTGGTGAGAGAAGTGGCTACAGGGCCATATTTTCTCTCATAATTAATCAATTCTTGAGCGACCTCTCCCCAGGTCCAAACTTTCTTTTCCTGAGGTCGACAATTAGGGTTCACGATTTCTTCTAATGCGGTGACAACCCTATCCCCCTGGGACATCGCCTGTATTTTTCCTTGCAAGTGAATGCCAATAGGTTTCAGAGAATTGAGGAGTCCTCTTATAAGAAGAGTCATTTGTTTTGGATTGACCGGTATCATCATTGGGGATTCATGTTTAGGTTTAAGTTCCCGGTCATACATCATTTGCAAACATGCTGCCTTTTGTACACTTTCTACTAATTGGTCAACTGTCCCCACAATTGCAAGGGGATCTCTCCTTTCCAACTGATTTAATCCTCCAGCCCAATAGGCTGCCCTCTGGGTTAGGGACCAGGGAGCACTGTAATTGCCGGTGGTTAAAAACACTCAAGGCCCCCAGTAGCCTTCGGCTTCTTTTTCATTTAACAATATCTAGTCCCCACCAGACAATGACACTCTCCAAACATACTCTGTTTCCAACTCCTTAGGAGCACGACCAAAATCTTTTTTCAATTTAGCTAGTTCAGTAGCCGAATATGGGATTTCCTTAGTAGTAATGTGAGGAGATTTCTCCC